GCGACATGCCAACACATTGTCTTCTTGAACGATACAGCGTGATGGTTCTGTGTATTGATGTGAAGTTTGCAGAGAAACAAAGACAAAACGAATTAACAGACCATCACACACACACAAGCAAGCAAGCAAGCAAGCAACCAACCAAACAAACAAACACACACACACACACACACACACACACACGCACACACAAACAAACCAACAACAAACAAACCAACAAACAAACAAACACACAAGCAACAAACAAGCAACCAAGCAAGCAACCACAAGGTTACGTCCAAATACATATGCGAATCCAGGGTGCTCATGTTGATGAGAGTGTGAGGAAGAGGCAGTCGTTGTGCATGTTTCCAATGTGGTCCACACCACCATACAGCAGGATCGAGTCAGCTGTTACAGCTGCCACGCTTCCAACGCCATCAGCTTTCTCAGCCACACGTGTGCTGTCAGATGCTTGCTCCTTCTCCCCAGCGTCCGCCACACTCACGTCCCGGGCACCATCATCATCATCACCACCACCACTGTCATCATGCGGATTGTGATGGTGCTGGTTCGGTTTGGCTGCTGTCGCATCTGCCTGATCGCCGTCCACGCCACCCTGCTGTTGGCCACCAACAACAGCCCCAAACATGGGCGTCACATCATGCACTGCTGGCGGCTGGTGCTGCTGGTGTTGTTGTTGTTGTTGTTGTTGTTGTTGTTGTTGTTGTTGTTGTTGTTGTTGTTGTTGTTGTTGTTGGTCCTTCTCTTCCGGTTCCGAGTCTGATTCAAGCAAAGAGCCTGGGAAGGGCAAGCCATGCGCACATTTGAACAGCAATGTATGCGTAGAAACGTGAGCGCAGCAAACCAGCAACACTTCTTTGTCTCAGCACACAGACGCCCACACTGACCCACACACGCACATGTACATGTGGGCTGCTTGCATCGCCAAAGAGCCTCGTACGTGTGCAGGGGACGAGCGAGAAATCGAATCTGGCGGCAACGGGGGCCGTGCTCAGCTCAGCTTTCCTCCACGTATCGTCATCTGGAGCGGGAAGGGAGGCATTTGTGCACACACACACACACACACACACACACACACACACACACACACACACCCATTTGACGTTGAAGTTGCTGCATGCTGGCGCACGATTCGCAACAGACTCGGTTGTGCACACAAATGCACCCATCAACAACTTGCCAGCAAAAAGCACACAGACACACAGACACACAGACACACAGACACACACAGACACAGACACACAGACACACAGACACAGACACACAGACACACACGCACACACACAGCAACCGACCTGTGTTGAAGAGGAAGACGTCGTCAAGCGCTGCGATGGGGACGTGTTCGCCAACACCAAGACCGCCCGTCAGCACAACAGAAACGCCACCACCACCACGACCACGACCACCACCATCACCATCACCATCGTCATGGTGGGTGGTGAGAGCACAGATGGAGTGGCCACTGCGCGGTGTTGGGCGCTGCCCCTTAGCGTCAACCCGGCGCCATGTCATCGAACCTGATGGTGATGGTGATGGTTGTTGTTGTTGTTGTTGTTGTTGTTGTTGTTGTTGTTGTTGTTGTTGTTGTTGTTGTGAAAGGCTGATTCGTGAGGTGGCTATCTTGAGCGTGTGTGGCATGCAGCTTTAGGAGCACGTAAACATGCACGTGCATGTTAAGACATAATCACATGCGTGCAACCAGACAACACGTACGGGTGTCGAGCGTGAACAAGTCGTCATGGAAGGTTCCTTCGTGCAAGCCTCCGTGGATAAGAGCCGTTTGAGGGTCGATCATGCACATGGCGTGGCCCTGGCGAATTGAGGGAATGTCCCCTGTGCCTCTGTGCTTTGTCCACCGCCACGTTTCTGCACACACACACACACACACACACATGCACACACACACACATGCACATGCAAATATTGACAAAGGTATGCAAGTGGGATTAGCTCCTTGGTGTGCGGCAAACACATTTGCCTGTCTAGTCGGGTGTATGCATGATGGCAGGCTGTATGCAAGCAGCACGTGATCTCACCAGTGTCGAGTGCATACACGGCTGTGTCGTCCACAGCCGCCATGCCTTGCTCCCCGCCGCCGAAAACATACACACGCGTGCCGCTGGCAAGCTGTTGTGGAACACAAACAGACACACACACAGACCCACAGACACACACACACACAAGGCGCAGAGCACGCGAATGAAAGTGTCAGTCCCAATCCAAAGAGCAGCAGCGTACAAAGCGTGGTATTGACAAGGAAGCAGCGCGGTGACGAGCACGTGCCAGTCATTACCAGGTGATGGACGGCCCGGGGCGAGGGGATATCGCCTGTGGCGGCCACCTGTGTCCACGTCCACGAGTCTGGCACGACAGGCAAAGGTGGCAGACAGCAAGACAGATGGCTCATCAGCGCGGTAGAAGGGCACATGGAAGATGTGATTGCAATCAACAACAGCCATCATCTCGCCAGCAGGCCAATGCTTGCCGCCAATTCCATCTTGAGCTCATCCGCAAGCTCCAAACACACACACACACACACAATATGTTTGTTGTGACAACACACCAGCCAGCCCCGAAACAAGTGCACCCAAACAAATACACATACATTACACGCCCGCACACACAGATACAGGCACACACAGACACACGCACACACATACATACACAGACACACGCACACAGACACACACAGACACACACACGTCCTAACATACTCACCAAGTGACAAGGTCCATGTGTCGTTGAGATTTCCTTCCTCACCAACGCCTCCAAAGACACAGACGGCGTGCTTGCTGGGAAGATAGACCATGCCATGGTCGTATCGGCGGCTGGGCACTGGCTCTTCTAGGGTGTTCAATTTCCGCCACGCACCAGTCACTGCACACGCGACCGCGAAAAAGATAAGCATTGTGTCAGGAGGAACAAGGAACACACACACACACACACTGCCAGAAGCCAAGGCACACATTGCCGTCTGTCTGTCTGTCTGTCTGTCTGTCTGTCTGTCTGCCTGCCTGTCTGTCTGTCTGGGACCTCCAGAAAACAGCTGCAAGGCAAACGAAGGGCACCCACTGACCGATGTTAAGGACAAAGACGTCATTCGAGAGGCCAGTCGGGGTTGCGCCGCCGAAGAACACAAACTTTGCTGTGTGACCACACTGGCAGCAGCCGTGTCCAAGGCGAGGGCCCAGCGCATGCGGCTCGTCGTCCTTTGGTGTCGGCACAACATACCTGCACAAACACCAACAGCGGCCACAAATGATAGGTACGCCAACAAAACAGCAGCAAAAAGGCAGCAGCAGCAGCAGCAGCAGCAGCAGTAGTAGTAGTAGTAGTAGTAGCAGCAGCAGCTCTGTCTGCTTCCACCACAGCACCACCAGCGCCAGCACCACCAGCACGCAGTCCACTGCAGCATGCGCTAAAGAAAACACACCACATGTGGGATGAAGGGATGTCGCCGCGTGCGAGGAACGGGTGCAGGGTCCATGAGCCATCTTCACTGGATCCAGGCGTTAGCACGCCTTGCTTTTGTGTCGACATGGTCAAAAAAGGTCACCAAGGTGGCTGGAAGGACTTGCCTGCCTCCTGTCGCAGCGCTGCAGTGTTGGGCAGTCTGTTGCTTGCTTCTTGCTTGTTCGAAGCAGCGGGCAGTTGCGGTCTGCTTGGTTCTTCTGCCTTGATCTTCGTCTTCTTGTCAAACGTGCTTTTTGGAGCTGTTCGTTGAATTTTCATTGAAGTTGTACGCAGTTTATCGGCACCGTGCCTGAAACCGCCCACCAAACCTTTCCAGCCAAGCACCAACGACGCACACACACACACATCACACCACCTGCCTCGCCGCCCGCAATAGCGCACGCACCACGCACCACCTGACCACATCTCGCACTCACGGCTGCATCTGGTTGACGACACCACTCGCTTTGTGGTGGGGGTTGTAGTTGCTGTCCCCTCAATTATTCCGTGCTTTACAAGCACAGCGAAGGACAGAAAGTACTTCATTTTTGTGCCAGGACAGCGTGCTTGTTTGCAAGGCCCCAGGTACAAGGCAGGAGGAGGACAACGCCAGCTGCAGTCAGCCTCGTTCGCACACGCATACACGCATCCAGGAACTTCGCCTTTGACCCCGCACCCGGCTGCGGAAACCATGTCTACGGTCTCAGCAACAGCATCTTCGTCCGTGACACCCAAAGTCACAAGCGTCCACCCCGGTGTCTCAGCACAAGTTGGATCGTTGGAGCCCCCAGCAGGGACCACGGCAAGCTCGTCGTCCACCACCCATGCCCAGGGCAGCAGCGTCAACAAGAGTGCCAACGACAATGACAACAGCAGCAATAGTAGCAACAGCAGCAACAACAACAACAACATCAGCGTTCCTGCCACCCCGAAGCAGCACCCAGCATCTTCCCCAGCGGCGACATCCACCCGCTCAACCTCCAAGCACCAGGATCATGCTGACGACCAAGCGCCTCGCCCACACTCCCCTCAAGCTTCCCCATCGCATGCTGCGCAGCCCAGCAGCGGCGGCAGCGTGGCGAAACCTCGTTCGGTGCGTCCACAGCGATCACTGCTTGCTTTTCTCGCGTGCAGTTTGTTGCTTACTTGCTTGCTTGACCTTACCAGCAGCGCGTGCTTGCTTGGGGATCAACCGTTAAGTTTGAATTGGACCATGTGTGTGTGCAATCGTGGGTGAGACCTTGATGCGTGTTCGAATCGCCTGGCACCATTTTGCATACTTGTCGTCTCATGCGCATGCATGCTGCTGCTCTTCTACTACTGATGTGACCGCCAGCACCGGAGGTCGCGGCGTGGCAAAGCGTTGGCGGCATCGTCGGGGGATGATTCTGATGGCGGGGAACACAGCGGCAAGCACAGGCCCCGCAAGGAGAAGACAGGCCATCGCACCGTCAACACGGTATGTGCGCACAAGCTCAGACAATTTGTGTGTGTGTGCGTGTGTGCGTGTGAACGTGTGTGCGTGTGACCGTGTGTGCGTGTGTGCGTGTGTGCGTGTGTGCGTGTGTGCGTGTGTGCGTGTGAACGTGTGTGCGTGTGCGTGTGACCGTGTGTGCGTGTGTGCGTGTGTACGTGAGTGTGTGTGAGTGTCGCCTCCACCACATCGTTTGTTGTGGACCCTTGCACCGTGGGTGGTTGTTTCACCTTGCGTGGTGGTGTATGCGGTGGTTTTTACTGTGCAGGTGACGGGCGAGGTCAAGTACAAGAAAGTCAAGTCGACGGAGCTGATGGCGGCGATTCAAATGGGCATGCGCCAAGCCATCGGTCCGTTGTGGCGTGTGGTCTGATGTGGTTTGGTGTGGTTTGGTGTGGTTTGGTGTGGTTTGGTGTGGTGTGGACTGTTATCATGTGGTTTGGTTGCGTACCGTTGGGTGTGCGATGACAGGAGAATGAATGGCACGCTGTTCTCACGTGTGCATCGTTGACATGCAATCGATCACGCGCCACCATCAGGATACACAATGCAGAAGAAGAAGCGCGACATCCTCATGCAGGACTTTCAAGAGGTAGAGAGCCTCTACTACCCAAGGTGTGTTTGTTTGTGTGTATCGACGACGACGAAATGAATTGTGTGTGGTAGTTCATGCACGTGTGTGCTCGCTGGTGTGGCCATGCTTCTCACAATCTTTCGTGCGCTGGTACTTGTGTGTTTGTCTGTGCTTGTTTCTCTCACCCTCTCACTCACTCTCTCACACACTCTCTCACACACCCCCCCACACACACACATCCTCTGTGCGTGTAGGGAGGGCACCAATTCGACGCCACCGCACAAGTTTGAGAACTTCAAGTTTTACACATATGCGCCCCGCGCTTATCGCCATTTTCGCGACATCTTCAACATCGATACAGCGGTGCGGCTGTGCCCACTCACGCACAATTGGGGTGCAGATGCACGATGGCTCTGTGCACACACACACGCACATACACACACATGCCAACACACACACACACACACACGTTTCTGTTTCAATCGTTTGTTCACTGTCGATCATCATGTTGTGTGACAGGACTTTCTGCTGTCAATGTGCCACAAACCACTCCGCGAGCTCTCAAACCCTGGTGAGGCGAAGGTGTTGTGCTGTCAGCATCCTCGTTTGTGTTGCTCACCATTGTCGCAATCGTTGCTGCTGAGCTGTTGTGGTGGTGACTCGGTGGTTTCTCACGGTTTAGTGTCGTCCTGAACCACCAACACACACACACAATACATACACACCACAATCCTCACACTGCACGCGCTACGCACACGGCACCATTGTGTCGCAGGCGCATCTGGCTCGCTGTTTTGGCTCTCGCACGACGATCGCTTCATTGTGAAGACCATTCAGAAGGGCGAGCACAAGTTCCTGACCAAGCTCCTCCCGCAGTACTACCTCAACTTGCATCAGAACAAGCGCACGCTTCTGCCCAAGTTCTTTGCGCACTTTTGCTACAAGAGCTCCACGGGCCGCCACATCCGCTTCATTGTCATGAACAACATCCTCCCTTCCCACCTCGAATACCAGGAGCGATACGACCTCAAGGGGTGCGTACGTGTGTGAGTGTGTGCGTGTGTGTGTGTGCATGTGTGCGTGTGTGCGTGTGTGCGTGTGTGAGTGGGTGAGTGTGTGAGTGTGCGCATGTGTGTATGTGTGCGTGTGTGCGTGTGTGCGTGTGTGCGTGTGATCTTGGCGCAATCTGTGCACACGCGCGTACATGCGGATTATAACCATTGCACCACCACACATGCAGTCCACCACACATGGTTGTTGATCTCTTCACATCACCACATTCCTGACACCAACCTCCACTCAAAAACACCTCCATTCGAAACGTGTCTGTCGTCCTGTGATCAGCTCGACGCGGGGCCGGTTTGCGAGCGAGCGCGAGAAGCAAAAGAAGTCGCCAACACTCAAGGATCTCGACTTTAACGACATCCATGAGGTGCTCCTCTCACCGCTGCATATGTGCAGGGGACCAGCTGTCCGTGTTGAGAGCGTGTTTGTTGGGGAGCGGGGTTCCCGCTTTGTGTACGTGTGGTTGTGTGGTTGTGTGTTTTTGTGTTTGTGTGTTTTTGTGGTTGTGTGTTTGTGAGTTTGTGTATGTTTGTTTTGTTGTGTGTGCGTGTGTGCACGTGTCAGGAGGTGCATGTGTTCATGTGATCGGTGCTAATAGCCCTACCCCTACCGTACACCACTCTCAACAGGAGGGCCTGACGCTGCCGAGCAGGACATACGATCGCCTGTGCAACACGCTGCAGCGCGACTGTCGCATTCTCCGCAGCTACAAGATCATGGACTATAGCCTGCTCCTGGGCATCCACAACATCACACGTACGTTGAGCTCCGGTTCCCCGCTTTCGGTTGCCTTGTGCATGAGCACTTGTTGTGTTCGTGTATTCACGAAACATGACCATTCGCATGAACACATGTGAATAGCCACGAGCGCTTTCGTGCGCGCGTGGACGCCCACGCACTAACACATTCACATCATTGGTTTCTCTCACTCTCACATCCACACTCATCCTCTCCTTCTGTCTTGGTTCTGGGTGCAGGTGCGAGTCAGGCGAAGCCGGCGCTCCCCGCAACGTACGTGTGACATGTTGCTGTTGTAGTGCCATTCTGTGGGCATGGCGGGACTTGCTTGCCCTTGCACCACGCACCTGCCGCACTCAGACAAACACACGCACATACACAGACATACACATGCCCATACACCCGTCCTCACCTGTTGCTTGCTGTATCCCCCTCAACAAAACAACAGGTCTGCGCATCAGTTCACAATCTCGACGCACGCGGCGAATGAATGTGAGGGCTGCCACCATCCTGAAACGGGCCTGTTGCTCGCATATGCCCGTCGCTTGCCAACCACATGTGCACACACAGACAGACAGACAGACAGACAGACAGACAGACAGACAGACAGACAGACAGACAGACAGACAGACAAGACAGACAGACAGACAGACACCCACACAAGCACGCACACGTGTGTTGTCTCATGGTGGTGCGTTGCCTCACACTGCCTGCAGACTTTCCGCACTCGATCCTGATCTCTGATGCGCCGGAGGGCCACGACGACCTCAACGGGCGATACCGATCGGCCGCCGCACAGGACAAGGACGGGCACCCATGGTACTCAAAGGTACGCGCACACTCGTGTGTGTTTGTTTACATGCGTTCACGCACACGCACAGGGGGCGGGGGCGGCTGCTGTGCTGAATCAACTTGCGTGTGCAAAGCGACTATTTTGAGATCTCCTCACACGTCATCATCTCTTGGTCATCACCACCACCACCACCACCACCACCACCACCACCACCACCACCACTACAGGATCTGCGGGACGGCGGGCGGCTGTATCTGTTGTACCGTGAGTCAGACAAGTCCTGGATCATCTCGTCCGACCCCTCGGGCGTCGGCGCCATCGCCGCGCTCAACACAACACACGCCCAGCCACGTGCGTACCGGTCGTGACGACACGCACACACTTGGCGTGATGCACCTGCGGTCATTTCACTGCCGTCTTCACACACACACACACACACACACACACACACACACACACACACACACACACACACACACACACACACACACACACACACACACGCACACACACACACACACACACACACACATATGTGCACTGACGCTTACGCGTGTGCGCGTTCATTTCTGCAGATTGACGAGGAGGAGGTGGATGTGATTGAGCAGGAGACAGGAGGCCTCATTGCGTACAATGAGAAGGGAGAGAAGTTGCTGATCTTCCTTGGAATCATCGATATTCTGCAGAGCTACGGCATGCGCAAGAAGCTCGAGCACACATACAAGAGCGTCGTGTTTGATGGCGTAAGTGTCACTCACATGAATCAGCCAGCATGCATCACACCCGCTTCGTTTGTCTCCCTCAATAATGCAAACATGCTTTGGTGGTCTTGTCTACGCGCTTCTTAGCAGCGTCGTTACGCCACCTCATCGCATTTCCTGTTCATGTCCACGTGTGTGTGTGCGTGTGTGTGTGCGCGTGCCTGTTGCCATGATAGGACTCTGTGTCCGTGCACCGCCCTGGCTTCTATCAAAACCGCTTCCAAGAGTATCTCACACAGCGCGTTTTCCGTGCTCAGCTCGGGTACGTGAGTGTGCAAGTATGCATCTGGGCGTGCGAGTGTGGGTGTGGTTATGCGAAGCCCCCCTACCCCTCTTTTGTGTTGGTTGTACACGCATTGGCTATATGTCTCACATCGGTGCGTTGTGTGACACTCTCCCACTTGCTTGCTTGCATATTTCCTCGCATGTGCTTGCTTGGCTAGCCCGGGAAACACCTCCACGGACAATGCTGCGCAGCCACAAAGCTTCAAGCGCAGGGGCCGCACGGTGAGTTGCGGTTGCACGGCGCTGTTTGCTGCGTTTCTTGTTCTGCTGTGTCGCTCGTTCTTGTCATTGATGGACTCATTGACCTCTGGTTGCTTACTCATCCCACGACCACCACCATCGCCACCACCACCACGACCGCTGTGCAGCAATCGTTCGTTCGCACCCGCAGCCGGAATGCATCGCAACGCGACGACGACGATGACGACACCCAACCGAAGCAGCAGCCGCTCGATCATGACCAACACAGCAAGGATCAGGACCAGCAGCAGCAGCAGCAGCAGCAGCAGCAGCAGCAGCAGCAGTTGCTTCGACCGGAATCACCGCGTGTTGTTGGCGTGACGCTCATGTCTGACGACGACGTGCGACGGTCGCGCGACACGTCGCCGCGGTCCCGCCGCCGCCGCATCACCAGCACCGCGCTCGACACATCCACAGCAGAGGACGAGGATGGTGATGCAGACGACAGAGGCAATACGGCCAGCACCGCCAACACGGCGGGCACAGAGGGCGCGCTTACAGAGGCTGTCGAGGAGCAGGACGAAGCGAGCGGTGCTGGCGAACAGCAACAGCAGAAGGAGGCGGAGGTGAAAGGTGTGGAAACTAATGCGTCTCCGGCGAGCGGCGATGGGAAGAATGAGGGCTCGATTGTGGTTGTCTCTGAGGGAGAAGAGAACGTGCAGATGGAGGCGAAGGTGCCGACACAGCGCACCGCAGCCACAGCTGACAATGATGATGAACATGATGATGACGGCGATGATGATGACGATGATGACGGCGATGATGATGATGATGACAATGATGTAGTGGAAGAGGAGGAGGAGGAGGAGGAGGACACCTCCTGTGAAGCATCGAGCGAACCTGTGGAAGCGGTGGTTGCACGTGTGGAAGACACGCCACAGCCGGAGGCATCAGCGCCAGCTGCGACGGAAGCGTCGCAGTCCACAAACACCACCAGGAACAACGAGAACAACACCAGCAGCAACGAGAATAATAACCACAACGATGACAACACGACTTTGCAGGGCACCAGCGACGCTGACACTGGTGCCAGCGATGTCGACAGGCCTGGGCCCGCGCGCACGGCGTGGGGCAGCAGCGATGCCGGTGTTGCAGCAGCGACGGCGACGGCGCTGTTGTCAGCGGACAACGACGGTGACAGCTCCGAGTTGGATGTGGACGATGTTGGCACGGAACCAGCGCACGCACACCAGCAGCTGCCCTCTCGCGTTCCTCTCAATGTGCAGCACTCCTCGTGTTAGGCACGTGTGTTGTGTGCCGTGCCATGTGTTGCACCGCGGTTATCGCGTTGTGCACTCATGTCACTTAAACAGCCATCATCATCGACGATAGTATCCCCGCCTCCCCTGTGCCCGTCTTCTTTAGGATTCGGTGCCATCAAGTTGCACGCGTGTTCACGTTCACTGCTTTGGTTCTGGTTGAAGGCGACATTTGTGTGTGTTTCTGTTGTGTGCGTGCGTATGTGTATGTATGTGTGATGTGTGTGTGTGATGTGTGTGTGTATGTGTTCTCTCGTACTTTTGATAGGCGTCAGTGCACCGGCAGCTAGAGGGTGATGCGCGGGCTTGCGCGTGCGTGCGTATATTCGTGAAGTCATGTGTGTGTGTGTGTGTGTTCCACAAGTCGCTGTTGCCGCCTTCGTTGCTGTTGTCATTCATTGTCTACATCTCATCGTTATGCTTGTGGACTGGAACCCAAAATGCAGCTTGCGCTCCACCCACGGGCGGCTGTGGCTAGTTACCACATCATCTCACGTGCTCTCACGCGTCCCTGTCCCTCTTCAGTGTTTTGTGCGCACGTGTGTGGGTGCCGTTCCACACCATAAACAAACAAGCAAACAGACACAACGAGCAGTTGATCCACAGCAATTGCTGTTGTCGTTGTTTAACTGTAATGTAACTCTACAAATTGTCATCTACATATCGGGCGGAAGCAGTCTCAACAAATCAGTGGGCAGGGCAGGACAGATAGCACGATGTGAAGGAACAAGCACAGGAAATGGCAGCACTTAAGGACAATCACAACAGTCTACATCACAGCAACAAGGGCGCCGCTACACTGAATAGACTCCACGCACGACAAGGAGACAGACGGAGACACCTTGAAGCAAGTACAGGTTTGCGTGGCGATTAGAATAGAGGCAAAGCGAAGTAAAGGTGCACGGGTTGGCGGTGCAACAATTGACGCACGCACGCATGCAGGAGTTGGTGCTGCTGCTCAGACGACCTGGTTGAACTTTGTGATGTATTCACCGAGGGGAATCCCAAGCTTGCGCGACATTCGCAATCGCATCACCAGATCCTCGGGGCTCGAGTACACCCCGCCCATAATCTTGTACGTCCGGCTGTGAGCAAGTGAGTGAGTGAGTGTGTGAGAGAGGGTGTAAAGGAGAGGCAGGGAGACCAGTGCGATGGTCAAGGGATGTTGTGTGCACGCCAGAGGTGAGTGTGTTGTGAGTGTGTGTGAGTGTGTTGTGTGTGTGTGTGCACAAGCGTAAGCATCTGCGAGTGAGCTTACTTCTTGGTTGCCTGTACACGGAAATGCATCACAGCGTCATGCTGCACGGCGGACAGCGACAGGTCGCGCTTGTTGCTCGCGGGCCGAAGCAGAAACAGGCCTTGGATATCTAGTGTCGGCAGCCAATTATACATGGTGGCAATGCGTGGTGAAAACACGTGATGTGAGTGTGAAAGGTAGCGGTGTGGATCTCATGGAATCAAAGAACAATCGCTTCTGAACGACCGTGAGCTCAGACAGGCTCCGCTGCAAGCAGGCCTGCACCAGATGATGGGGGCTGTGGATACCTTCTTGGCGGCCCTGGGACAGCAGCATGCGCTCTGCTGCCGGTCGCGACAAGGAATTGAACACATATCCCTGTGGCTTCGGCTCTGCATTTGGGCGTGCGTGAGTGAGTGAGTGAGTGAGTGAGTGAGTGAGTGAGTGAGTGAGTGAGTGAGTGAGTGAGTGAGTGAGTGAGTGAGTGAGTGAGTGAGTGAGTGAGTGAGTGAGTGAGTGAGTGAGTGAGTGAGTGAGTGAGTGAGTGAGTGTGTGTGCGCGCGTTGTAGAACACGAGCAGTTGTTCTGACGCAAAGCTCATGCAAGAACACTAAACCA